AAGCTGTCTTTATCTCACCCCATGAATTTTCCTTTCCCCCTCCTCCCCCCCCGATTCTCTCCCCCATCCCACTGCGGGGGGCAGTGAGCAAACAGCTGTGTGGTGTTTTAGCTGCCTGCTGGGTTAAATCACAACAAGCGCTCAGAAATGAAGTCAGGACTACCCGACTGTTTAGGCTTCTCTTTGGAGCTAAAAACTTCCTAGGAATTGCTGTTATGATATTTTGGTTACTTTTGATCTCAGCCCTGCCCAGAATGAAGTACATAAAAAAGGATAAACACAGCATTTTTGTTTCTCTTCCTTTTTCTAGTTACAATAGATTATCCATCCACTCGCCCACTCACACGAGCAAGCCTTTCCTGTGCTTGCTCATCTCAGCTGAACTAGGTGGCAGGAGTGATTTACATAGCCATATTTCTTGAGAATGAATTTTCTTTTTGTATTTGAGCTCACTGATCCCCTATTGTTCATGCCTTTGTTTCTATGCTTCGCTCTCCTAATTCTTGCGTCTTTGCTCCAGTTGTTAGTGCAGTAATCCCTGGTAATAAACAGAAGCTTGTCTGGAAGGAGTCCTAATGCTGCTTGGCTGTGCTACCAAAAGCTGATTCCTCTAGAGCAATTTTCTTCCCATCCTCTGCATGCCATTTTTTGAGGGGTGGGGGAATGACAGGACAGTGAAATTAGGGAGATAACTGTTCTACCCCTTCCTTCTTCTGTTGGGCAAATTGAGAAGCAGATGCTATTAAATAACTTGCTCTTAACATCCTTGTTTTTCAGTGGCACAGACTGATTCCGTTCACTAGAGTATAATGACTTTTTCAAATTTTTTTTATAAGCACCTGTTCTCTTTTAAGATTACTGCTTGAATTGAAGACTTCTCCTGTGCCCATTTGCAAGTGTTGGCTCATATTTAATTCATTTTTATTTTAGGATTTATTTGGATTTGCAGCTCCCCCCCCCCCCCCTTCCCCCATATTTTAAGTGGATGCCTGGGCTTGGCATTGCAAAAAGCACGCCTTGGTATTCGTTGAGGAATGGGTTCTGTTGTGAGTTAGAATGTGATCATCCCTGCTTGTTGTCAAGGGAAACTACATCAAAATTACTATCTTTCAAATGAGATTAATTGGTATCTTTGCTGCTTGTAATCACTAAATCCTATTGTACATATTGCAGGAGTGAAGTCAATTAGAACTAAGCACGGGACACCCCTAGGCTTATAGAAGAACATTCACCTTTTCATTCTAATAAAGATAGTCACATTTTTGCCTACTAAATTACTCCTACTTTCAGCTGGATGGCTCTCTGATTTTTCATGATTCTATGATTATCTTCTAACAGCTCTGTGTTCAGTTGTAACTGATGTAAGGTAGCTGGCACGCATGGCCAAAATACTGCATACTCTATTAGCACCAAAAAGCAATTTGCCCAGGCCTCTGTCTGCTGATGTGAATGGTGGTAGAAAATCTCTTCACAGAGAAACAAAATATACATAGAAGCAGTGAGGGGCTCATGGTGTGAAATATGTTTATTAAAAAACCTGAATTGACAGATATGGCTGGCTATTATGATCCAGAGAGTGAGATAATGCTATAAGCCAAACTAAATATATTACTCGAGAGCATATCAAAACTAAGTTGAAAGATATAGGTGGAGTTCTGAAGAGAGCTATCTGCAAGAAGAAATGAGTGTGTATCAGGCTTTAAAAGGAAGTAGTGGAGGCAAAGTAGCAACTAGTATATTCTGGGCCTCTCACTTGTTCAAAGCAATGATTATGTATAAAACTGTTAAACCAAGCATGTTGGCTAGCTTACATAATAAAATTGGCAGACGACTTCAAGTTCTTTTCTTTTCAGAAAATAGCATTGGTGTCATGCTCTTCTCATAGCAGTGTAAGGACTGTGTTGCAGGGTGCTGTACTGCTAAGTCTCTAGCAAAACATTTTTGGCCTGAATTGCACTTTCACATGGAAGCAGTAAACTTGAGATGAGAAGCAGCACAATTTTCTGATGTGTATTAACAAAAGATCACAAAAGTAGACTCATAGAATGGTTTGGGTTGGAAGGGACCTCTAAAGGTCATCTAGTCCAACCCCCCTGCAATAAGCAGGGACATCTTCAACTAGATCAGGTTGCTCAAAGCCCCGTCCAACCTGACCTGGAATGTTTCCAGGGATGGGACATCCACACCTCTCTGGGCAACCTGGGCCAGTGCTTCACCACCCTCATTGTAAAAAAAATTCTTCCTTATATCTAGTCTAAATCTACCCTTGTTTAGTTTAAAACCCTTACCCCTTGTCCTATTGCAACAGGCGCTGCTAAAAGTCTGTCCCCATCTTTCTTATATGCCCCTTTTAAGTATTGTAGTTTTTAAGTGTGTTATACAGGCTGAACTTGCAATGAATATTGGCTTTATAGAAGAGGAACAGATTTATGAAATCCCTACCAGCTGTGATGTGATAGCTCCACCCCATACTCTGTATTTTAAGCTATAAACCCTGTTCTGCATTTTTTGTCTTGAACTGCTGCATGCTGTTAATATGAAACCATTTCAGTAGCTGGCAATGAGATCACACTTTATTATATTTAGACCCTTTATGTAGATGAGAAATCCTGATGATTTATTCAAATATATATGTCTCTACCGGGGGGGGGAAGGTCAATTCCCCCTCAAAATACAAGGGACTGGAATTGGTGACTTAGAGCTGCACAGATCTCCATTAAATGACCCATCTTTACAAAGAATCACAGTAAGTCAATTGTCTTCAAACTCTGTACCTGGTATAGCAAGGTTTCGAAGTGCACTGAGTGCAGCATGTTGAACAGAGACGTCCCCACTCTCTACGTGTTTCTCCAAAAGATCCAGAAGCTGATGTATGACTCCCAGCTGTACCATTCGTACACAGTTGCCATCTGAAGAAAGAGGCAAAACCAAGCAGGTGAGGGAGATAAGAAATACAATGATAGAAATTAATCATGCAAATTGAGAATTCAGGGAGTCTTTGCCTTGACTGTTTTCATGTCTTGATAAGATTGAGACTAGCTTTTGCATTGTTTTTTACAACCTTCAACTCTCTAGAGGTAAGTGGGCATCAGCCACCTGTAATCTAATGCTGAGACGTCCTCTAGTAAAGCTTAGCTTGAGAGAGCTTTCTAGGGACAGCCACTGTCAAAGTCAAAACCGTATGTCCTCCAGTCAATTTCTTCCTCAATACTGCTTTATTTTGCACTATAGATGTGGTGGAATACTGGTGGCATTTTCCACTTCTCCACAGGGTAGCTTTAATACTTCAATTTTGCTATTCTGCTGGTTTAAGAGACTACTGTGAGACCAGGGATCTTATCCAGCAATGGTGAGTCTGATTACTAGTTTTGTGCTGCTGTTACTCCTTGTATTCAGTCAAATAATTTGTCATTAACTAATCGTCAATCAGGCCTAGGTTTTTCTTACCTGTTTTGAGAAACCCACTTTTGGAAATGAGAAGTCTAATTGTGTTGCACTCACATGAAGCTAGGAAAATATGAGTTGACCTAGAGAGTTCTGATATGTTTAGTGCTGGTGAAAGCAGATTTGTACATCCCAAAGAACTACCATTTTGCCCAGTATGCGCTCTGCAATATTTTGTCAGTGCACGTCTGTGTGTCTCCCTCTCTTTGAGAACTTGCTCTGTAGAGGTGACAGCCCTTTTGTTATCAGAAGCTCCTTAGCTCACCTTAATAGGAAATGAGAAAGTGTTCTCCTAAAGAGCAAAAGGAAACCCTGCATATTACGGTCTTGCATCCTTCCTGAAGGAAGTGTTTTGAAGATGCCGTTTGGCAAATGTTTTTCTGTATTTTATTTTATGCAGTTTATTATACTTCAGGAGAAGCATATTCCTGACACCAGTCAACATTTCCTTATTGCTGTGCTGTTACCATGTGAATGCTGTTTGTTAAAACATGGCAAAACAGCATGAACGCTATATAGGAAGACCACGTCTTCACCTGGGGTAAACAGTTATCTGTGGAACTGTACAGACTTCATACAAATACAGAATCTGGCCAAAAGTAGCTTTAGGTGCTTCTCATGGTACTAACTGCATGCCTAAGATGTACAGACTTCTAATTTTTGTGTGTATACCACTTTAAAATGGCTCTAGTAATTTTAATACCTTTGCTGGTTTGAATGTTATTTCCACCCCAAAGTAGTAGAAACTCCTCCATGTTGTCTTTTGAACCAATGCCCACTATTCCTTTAATCTTGTAGCATTTCAGTTAGTAGCATATTTTTTCCCCTGTATTACTACATATGTTAAATAAGAATTTGTCAAATGCTTATGAAATGTAAGTGGATATTTTCATAAAAGAACTGTCAGTCTGTGAAATAGTTTGAATTCTACTCATGCAAAAATCTTTTGATACCAATTTATGCATACGTTCTCTAAAGCTGATATTTTTTGCTTGTGATTCTTCCAGTGTTCTCTTGCCTGGTCCTAATCTTTGGAGATCAGAATATATAAGGAAAATTACCCAGTTCTCTTTAGGAATAGGTTCTCTAGGAACAGAGCATCTCTTTTGGTCTGACAAAATTCTACAGGCAAAATACTTTGATCTTCATATAGACTAACCTTAATTGAACTTAATTTCTCTCCTCCCCCCACCTTTCAAACCAAAGAATGGCAGAGCACTTTTTCTCTTGTAGTAAAGTGCGAATAGGCAGAACCCATTAGTGGTTGCCTTGCTTTGATTGTCACAGAGCTCCAAATTGGTTCTCTCTCCTATGGATTTCTGTTTGGATAGCAGCAGAACCTTCAATTTAATGGCTCATAGTTAAAGTCTGATACGAACAGCCACTTTCATAGTTGTCTGTCTGTCATCTTTTCACTGCCTCAGAAGTCATTTGATGCTGAGATCAGATTTCCATAGGATTTTTTTTTTCTCTTAGATTAAAGGCTGTGCATACATCAGTGGCACATACTGGAGCCTGAAAGGGATTATTCACTTTTTCCACATGAAACATCTCACGGGGTTGTGGGGGAGATGGAGGGAGAAGAGCGAGTGACAAAGCAAGCCATTCAGCTGAATAAATTGAAGATAGCCAGTTTAAAGGCACCAAGGGCATTTCTGTGGCCTTTGTAGAACCGTGATGCACGATGGCTGATTCAGAGCAAGGTATAAGACAAGGAAGAAAGGGAGCCTAGAAAGGATGGGGGGGGGGAGGTGGAGAGATGTGTGTATGATTGCTTTTAAAAAATAAAAAAAAAACCAAACCAGATGAGACTGACTAGCTAAACATTCAGACAGATACGAGGGAATCTTTTGTCATAATTAAGCACATATTAATGCAGAAAGTTGAGCAATGTCGAAAAAAGCTCCTTTTTGTTAATTGAGTTTGAACCCAGTACAGTAGCTATCAGTGAGAAAGGACAGAAAATGTGGTGGGGTATCTTCTGCTGACTGATTCAGCACAGCATGCCTTCCAGGAGTCTGTTTATAAGAGTCTCTGTGTGTTTCTCTCTGCATAGTATTAAGGCTCATTGCTTTCTGTAATAGGAAAGTGTGAAAGATAAAATGGCTTATCTTGAGACTTATTTTTCCCCCTGATGTGTCTGAGTAACCCTCCCTTCCTAAAAGTGACTTAAAACCTAAAACATCAATAACGTTATGTTATTTTTTTATATTTCTAACAAATGTATTTGCCATGAAACATTTCCAGAGTCTCCCCTCTAATAATGTGTGATTTAGGGGGGAAAAAAAGCACGAAAGCTTGCATACCTGACCACCCCATTTTTCACAGTTGTGTCTCTGAAACAACTTCAATATCATTAGCATCTGTAACTTAAAGGTATGCAAGTCTCCAGTCTGCAGAAAAGCAAGAATGTTACTGTTTCAGAGCCAGGGAGCAATGAAATCTAATAGTGTTGTTTTTCTCTCCACTCCCAAACAGTGGCTTTCTATCTTTGAAGTGTAGAGAATAAGCAACCTTACCGGTTTTTGTAAAATTAGCAATAGCTGTTGCTCCTGTCTCAGTAGCTGCATGTGTTTAGATGTGATGCAAGTACCAACATTCTGGGAGATGATGCCACATCCCTTAGCAAAAAAACTTCTGCATGTACTTATCTGCGGCATGGTAAATAGAGAGAACATCTCATGTCTGTTTATAATTAGCCCCAAAGTGAACTGTTGTGTGGGGAGATTCGAATCAATGATGACTTAAAGATTGTTGTTACAGTTAATAGTTTAAGACCTTTAAACTGTTGGTTGCTTCGGGATTGGGGGTGGTGGGATGCAGTATAAGTGTCCAGTTCTTGATGTTTTATTCTTTAATCTGTATTGCCCAAAATACAATATAGCAGGGCCACCTAAACTATGTTGCTGTTAGGTCTTTAGCCTTTTTGTGTTGTTCTTGAGATCAGCTTAAAGACTTAGTGAAAAATCTAGGTCAGCAATCTGTGTAGTCTGTTCCTAATAGATAGATGCAGAACTTCCATTACAGGAAAGTTCTTGCATTTCATTTGTTAATCCAAATGTTCGAAATACGTACACAGATTTGGAATAGTGAATGAGGAAACATGAGTAGTTCAATACCATGTGAACTTAATCTGATGATTAGCTTTAAATTTAAAACTGGCTCTTAGGCCAGCTTTGAAAGTAAAGTTACAGAAGCAGCGTGTGAACTGACAGCCACGGGTACAGCTACAGTGGCCTGAAGTTCTTATGCTTGCTTTTGTGTTCTGCGCAGGAGCAGTCACAGTGGTATTAGATGACTTGAGGCAACACATGTGTATGCTCGAAGGGAAGCATGGCAATGTGAGCACTAGGCTCCTATAAAAAGTGAAAAGTTGTGGTGTCTTGAGAAGAGTTCCCCTAAGGATTATGACACAGGCTATAGATGTGTCCCTGTTAAGGAAATGAAAGCAACAGAGCAGATGGCAACTCCTCTGCTAAGGGGACTTTTTGATGTTGTTTCTTTATGTATCTGGACTGTCAGTATTCCCTTTTTTACCTCCAAGAAGCAGAGAGACAATGAGATCTGATGCAGCCTTCACAATGCATGTATCTTCAGCTTGTGAACTACCCTGGAGCCTCAGCAGGATCTCGGACAGCACCTCTTGCACGCCTGCCTCCACCAACTGCACTTTCAGAGCATCTGTAGAGATCACAGTAAAAGCACACTAAAAGCTTCTTGGGTCTTTGTTGAAGTGTTTCAAACTAGGAAGCTAAAACCTTGAATTTTAGCCAGTCTTTTTTCAGGTGCAGTAACTTTTTTGGTTTTGTTTGTAACAGACATTCTGGTGCTAGGATGACACCAAGGCAGAATGAGCAAAGCTTCTGCATTGATCTTTGACATTTCTTGTATTGCCAGTCATGAGTTTAAGTTTATTTCCTTAAAATCTGTATCAGGTGTCTAGATATTTTTAGTGGATTCTTGTCATTGTTTTTTATTAAAAAAAATGACAACCAAATATCATAGAAGATGTCTGTTGTAAGCAGTGGTGTAACAAGCAATCTGTTTAGTCTGCTTTTCTGTTACACACCATGGAGTTTGAATCTGCTATCTTATGGAGCCACCGAAATAGAGTGGAACGCTACTCTCTCTCTCCTTTCTTTGTTGCCTTACTTATTAAGCTCCAAAGTCTTGCTCAGGCCAGGATTTCAGATGTTCTTGTGGCTTATTTCCATTGAAAGGATTGCTGGTTCCATTAGTAGGATCCCATGGCAAACTCAGAACCGAGAGCTTAAACTAAGTACCAGTACCCTGTCTCCCCTCATTCCCCCAAGCTGCAAGGAGTCTTACCATTTTCTGCAAGTGCTTGCAGGACCTCAAAGACAATTTCTAACCTCTCATGGTTCTCTGCTCTTCTCAGTTGCTTCACCAGCTGTTCAGCAACCTTTGTCTTGCTTAGAGCTTCCTTGGCTGTATCTGTGCATATGATAAAGCCAGCATTTTAAATGTTTCTTTATCTGATTAAATGTTAAAAGCATATCTCTCTTTGAATGCTTTTTCTGTTTTTAAAGATGCTTCTGTCCCTTTGGACAGCAGAGACAGCAAAACTCTACTCCATCCCTTCTCCCCCCCGCACTTCTTTCTTTAACGCTATTTTTGTGTAATTCTTGTAGCTGTGGCCTTGTAATAGCTGCCAAATTAATCTTGGCTTAATTCCACTGACACTTATAAATCCATCTGTAGTATGACTGCCTAAAAAACCAAAACAACACACACACCCCCCAAAACCTGTGGGCATTCTGCATGCACATAGAAAAGCAGTGATAGCGTGAAGATGATGCTTTACTCCAAGATACAAAAACATTTACTTACCAAGGTCTGCAAGATTGCATAAGGCCAATAGATCAACATGGACAAGTGGTTCACTCTCTGCATAATCAGTTAATATTCGGACTAGTGATGTGATTACTCCTACCTTCACCAGCTCTTCCTGAAGATCCCCTGGTAATAGTAAGCACAGAAGTTAAAGGTGATTAAATAGGGATCAGTTAAATCAGTAAAAAGGGTCCAACTGAGATGCTTTGCAGCAAGGTAATCTGATTCTTTCTCACACTGTTAGAATTTGTACAGCTTTTGTGCTGTGCGTTCAGGCTAATGCGTGCATTTGGGAAATGCAGGTTCAGGACAGAGTTTTGCTAAACCTCCTGGTTCTACTTTGACTCGAGGAATTAAGCCGTTGTAAAAATATATAAGGGCAATTGCATGAGCACCTCTACTCATGTAGTAGTGCGGCTTCTAAAGTGAGTTCTGATGGACTGTGTCTCTTGGTATGTATCTGAAAATTGAGTGAGGAACAGACAGTTGGCTTATTTCTCTCAGCGAATGGGAATCTCAGCCTTAAATCCTATGGCTGCTTTTGTTCTGAAGGGCAGGGAGATGGAAGGGACTGGAAACCCAAGATAAAGCATAGTGTAGTGACGACTCTGCTTTCAGGGACCGACAGTGTTCAGGCTCATATAGCAAATGTCCATATACCTTGCTTTTTCCATGTTAGAATAATGATTCTTTTTTGTTTCTTCAAAAAAATAATTCGTTGTTAAACAAGACACTTCACCAATACCTGGGCTGTTATAAGCTACCATTGAGAGACAGACCACTTTAAAGTTCCTCTAGGGGAATCATCCTCTTCCAGTTCTTTGAATGTCAGTTGCTCAGCATGTAGGGAGTCTTGGAGTGCTTGAACTCAAGGTGTCTTTGGAATTTTTATAGGCTGAGTAAGGTTCTCAAGCAGGTGTAAATTCATGTGACTTAAGGGAAGTCAACAAAGTACAGTAAGTAAAAATTAATATGGTCCTGGTTTTAGTATACTAACTACAGTTGTCTCCATCCACATGCAGAATTGCTGAGGAAAACACTGATAACTGTTTTCTTTATTTTTGTAGTTTGTCTTATAATGAATGAAAGCTTAATATCTAAAATGATTTTGAGAATGCCAAGAACTATGAAATACAAGTGATGGTTGCTTAACAGTACAATAACACTGCTTTTGCAGCAGTGTCTTGCTGAGAGCTAGACTGCAACTTGGCTGACTGCATGTATGACAGACACCAGAAAGTGTCTGGGTGCTATTGTAGCATATACAATTGTAATTCAATCAGGGAATCACTGAAATTAATTTTTCTATGATGTATTTACTACTGTGTTAGAAACTAGTAAAGCATGTATCTCACAGTCACAGTCATCTTGTCAAATCTATGCTGGGCCTGTGTTCTGACAGAAGTGAAGCAGATTTGCAGTATGGCCATATGCTGTGGTAATGCTGGTGTACAGTAGTTGCATGCGCCTTGCATGTAATCATATGGGGAAGGGTTTTTTTTAAACTATTACATGGCATTCCTTGGCAAATACATCTAATTTGCAGGGGGCTAGCAGAATCTATACCAGGTACCTATCATGCTTGGATTTCTTAGGAACAGTGCAGGGAGGCAAACCCAGAGCTTTCTAGATAAAGCTACACAGGTCCACACTGGAAAGATAAGAGAAGGTAGGTTGAAGGCAGAGGGAAATGGATAGAAGATACTGGGTGAAAAGTTCCATGTTGCCTCCGGTATGCAATAAATATTTTCAGTCAGACTGGGAATTAAAGGTAAAAGAAAAATCTTAAACTGTTGAGGCAAGTAAATGAAAAGGGTTTCATTCGTGAGACCAGCAAGCAAGCTAGTGTACTGGCTTTATGGAAAAATCTGCAGCACAGAGATGTCCTATATGCAGGGAATGGTCCTCAGAGAAGACCATTCCTTGCATAGATAGATATCTCAGTATTTTTTATTTCTTAGAGTATTTTTTTTTCCTGACACACTTTTTAAATAAGTGCTTTGCTTTATAGACGCTGTTATTACTTTGGAAGAAGATGAAGTCATTCAGTATTTGAGCCCAAGGCAGTTCTACAAAATTGACTAAGATATGTGTGAGGCTCTGCTACTCTTGTAGTTGCAGAGCAATTCTGACAAAAATGTGTCACCTTGAAGTCAAAAATATAGGGGGAAACCCAGTGTTTAGGAGGTGTTTGGGATGCATTCAGCCTGGTGTCTGTGAGCTGTGTGGATTGTATATCTAACTGGAGGCTGAAGTGCATTGTGTGCTCAGGTCTCATAAAAAAATTATGAGTTACAGGTTACAATGCCTTATAAAATAATGCCTTACAGCTAGGGAAAATAGGATTCTCTCAAGTCAATACTTACGATTATCATAACAGATACGGCCAATAGCCCTCCCAGCATGAAGCAACATTTCTTGGTCTGTGCTCTCCAGCAAAGGTATCAAAGTTAGAACCAAATCTGCTTCAATACACGGCTTCTTCATTTCTTCTGTGTAGGTAAAGGAGAGGGACTTGTGGGGTTTTTGCCATGTTGAAATAAAACAATTGCAACTGCAAGACCAACAGCTGGTAGCCATGAAACAAAACTCAAGAGTGGAAACATACAGCTAATGTGCTGTAGTATGCCTCGTAGTAATGCTTTAGTACAACATACCATTCTTGGCTATCTCTGAAAGCACCTGGGCTGCTTTCACTGCACATCGTGGATTGCCCTTCAGGATTTTTGCCAAAGTTAGGAAGATCCCACTCTCCCTGAGTAGGCTGAAGGATCTCTGCTCTGTAATGATAAGAGCGTTAAAAATACGTGCAGTAGGTTTGCAACTGTTTGTTTACATGTTGCTTTGTTTCCTAGAGTTCTGAGTGGATATCTGTGGGATCCAAGGTTCTGATTTAACAAGGAACTTAAAGGCTGTCTCAGCCTAAATATATAGGAACAGTCATCTGCTTGAATTTCAGCAAGTGTAATCCAGCTGATTATTCTGCTTCATGCTGAATTGATGCACAGGTAGCAAAGCAAAGGGGAAAGCAGTTTCATCTTCTCTGACTACAAAAGGATGCTTGCATAAGGCATGGGAAGTCAGGGATTAAGATTCTATTCCTGAGGTATGGCGTAGCAATTAAGTTTGTAGGTAGGCACAACATCTTTTATTAGACTAGCAATTAGAACAGTCAATTCCCTTAGCCTTTTTTTTGGTCAAAAATATGGCTAATTGTCCTTAAGGTAGTAAGTCACCATCTGCCAGGAGATTCAAATAAAGGCAGGTTTATGTCGTTTCAGGAGAATGTACAGGGACCTTAAAAACTTTCTTATAAGGAGACTAGGAACTACTTTTTAAATTCCTGACCCAATAGGGTCACCCCAATTTAATCCTAGGAGTTTGTTTTGTAGTAAATAGAATATTAAATTTGGAATTTCTCTGCATCTTCAGGTGTTTTAGTGACCAGTAGCTTTATCTGGTCACAGGTAGATTTGCGAGTATGCAAAGAGAAAGGAAAACAACAAAACAGGTTGAGGACAGCTACAGTTCCAGCAGCAATCACTTCCTGTAATACAGATTGTTACTATAGACAAAAACATCCAGTGAATGATTTCTGATTGTGCAAATGGTTAAACAGTGATCTGGAGTGATACTTAGCTATCTTCAGTAAGAGCCAGGAGAATCCCATTCAGACTTTCAAGGATCTGATCTTCAGCTTCTGTGTCATCTCCACAGAGCCCAAGGTACTCCAGGTGCTGACTCAGAGTTTCTAAACAGAATGGGATGGAAAACTGTGGTGAGCCAGTATGGAAAATACTTTTAGTTCTTTCTGGTATTTCTTTTCAGTGACAATGGCTGACCATAAGATCATCTCCTGAAGGGTCCAGATCTAAATATGCTCATTAAATAACTCATTTAATCCAAGAGCATGAGGGCAAAGGCTTGGTCCACTTCTCAGACAGCACATAGCTCTTGTGCGGGCATAAATATGCGGAGATATATGTTAATTTCTTTTTCCAGATGGAATTTAATAGCTGTGGCAGAGTTTGAGGTAGGGGGGAGAGAGGAATAATTAGAGAACCCAAATCAAGCCTGTCATTTCTAAATACCTCTTTATCATAAAGATAGTACTTGCAGTTCAACTAGCTGTATATCTGCTCTGATAGTGGCTGGTAGGAGACACTGAAAGAATGCAAGAATGAATCAAATACGCTAACATACCTCTCCCTTAATTTCTGGCAACCTTGGCCTTTAGAAACATGCCTAGCATTTACATCAATGTTTTTAATAGATTTTGATGGACTTTTATTTCATGAATTTGTTTAATTACCTATTTAAGATAATTCATACTTTTTATCTCCACGGCACACTGTGACATTAAGTTCCACAGTTTCACTGTTGTAAGAGGAAGTTACTTCCCTTTGTTTTAAAATATCTACCAAAAAGCTCAAAGCTAATGGCCTTTGAGTTTCTGTAATAAGAGAAAGGAATGATCCTTCGCTATTTGCCTTTCCCATGCTTGTTGTGATTAGATGGATTTTTTTATATCCCTCCTTTGTAATTCTTCTGCCAATTCATTTAATATTTCCTCTACAGAAGCTTTGATAACTTGCCTCAGTCTTTTGCCAGTTCACTTTTATTCTTTTTTTTTAAGTGAGGAGCTAAAATTCGAAACTGTCTTCAAGATATAGGTGGACTGGGATTAAGACAAAGATTGTAATGCTTTGTTTTCTACTCTTTTAATCCTTTGTCTATTTGAGAATGTGTTTTGTGCAGCGATTCAAAATGCCTTGATCTCTTCTGGGCAGAGGGAGTTAATTTAGACCCCACCATTACTCATAATTAGGCCATCTTTTCCCCATGTATGTTGTTCCGCATTTACAAACACTGAACTTGATATGCCTCCTAATCCTAAGTCATACAGGATGATAAGATTTTTCTGCAACTCTCTACAGTTGGTTTTAATTTTGAGTACTCCAAATAATCCAAAACCTCTTTACCATTCTGCTAGTTCTAGATCGTTTATGAATATATTGAATGACACAGGTTCCAGCAAAGGTAACCTCTAATAATTATGGCTCTCTACTGCACAAGCAGTCTTTATTCTGCCCTTCAGACTTCATCAGATAACCTGCTCTCATATCCCAAGATAGCTTAGATGATAAACATTATTGAAAGTTTTGGAGAAATCAAAATGCATTGTTAACAGTATCTCCTTTATTCACCTTCTTGCCAGCTCTTTAAAAATATGTTTAAAGAGAGAGAGGTTGAACATTACTTGCCTCCACAGAAGTCTCATAGACTCTCTCCTTTTTTATCTTATCTGTGTTTGGTAATTCTGTGCTTTACTATAATTCTACAATTTACCTATGCAGAGATCAGATTTCTGTACTTTAATTTCCTGCATTCCTTGCAACTGTTTTTGTAAACTCGTGCCACTCTTACTGCTTTCCACCCTATTAATCCTGTAGCTGATTTAAATAGCATTCTGCATGTCACAGTTAATGATCTGATGATTCATTTTATTAATTCCTTATAAACTCTGGGGAATAACATCCAGTCCTGACAATTGGATAGCATTTATTTTATTGATTTGTTCTAAATCAATCTTCTGCCCTTTCAATCTGAAGGTTCCTCCATCTACTTCCTGAAAACAAAAAGACCTGAAGTGGTTGAAATGAATGTAAGAAATAATGCTGGAAAACTGATGGCTGAAGTGGTTAACTTATAGTCAAATATAATGTAAGGTGTTACCAAAACTGTAGTAAAATAGCATTTCTACTTCACAAACTATTTCATTGAAAAAGATGTCATGAGTCTAGGCCTAGAAATTCTTCAGCCGAGGATTAATAATTCATCATTTATTTTTGTTGTTTGATGGATTCACTATTTTCTCTTTCCTTAATGTGTCCATTTGTTAATGTGAGGTTGGTTTTTTTTTAAATAGAATGCATTAATTTAGTGCATACAGGAATTTACTTCAGAGGAACCAGAAGTGTCTTGAGCTTTTTTGAAGAGAGGATGCATTAAAGGGAGGAGAAGTAGAACATCATTAAAGGCTGTTACTGTCCTTTGAGAAGAAAAATTCTTTGGCTTAAAAAAATAAAAGCAGTTATTTAAGAACAATGACAATTTTGGTTTTGTGCTTTAAACAAGATGCCATCTTTAGAAAAATGGCTGGCTTCATCAGGTTAAAAGTCTGTATGGGGAAACTTCAGTATTTTTTATTCTGAGTAAGAAACTGAGGCTGTATGTGTTGATGTCTCTTGGAAAGCCTTTGTAGTTGAAAGTAACTATGTGTTTGTCTTTTCATGGCCTCTTCAAAATCATGTACTAAGGGCAACACAGGCATAAAATTGATAGATCAAGGTTTTAAAAAAAAAAAAAAAAAAAAAGATGGCTTTGGATTTGTTGCCGCCTTTATTAATGAAAACAGGCTGAAAACTCCTGGAATAGATAGATGTACAACAAGGATGTTTTCCTTTGACCTGCTTTAACAAAAATTAACGTTAATCACTGGTTTCTATTTCTGTTCAGTTCTCCTGCCACAGTTTGGTGAATAAATGATTTTGTATGAATTAAGTACATGTAGAATGCAATTCTCTTATTAAAAAAAAAAAAAAATAAAATTACCTGAGCAACCTGACAGTTGAATCAGCTTTGATCTTAAACTAGATCTAGTGGGAGTGGGCAGAAAGCTACAACTGCTGATAGAGCAACATGAAATAAATTAGGAGCCTGTGAGAATGAATTATCTACTGAACTCTATGGCTTCATCCTTATCAAGGATGAAGATCAAGATCCAAACTGTGCCGGCATGAGGTAAGGCATTTAACTTCTAGTACTCTATCCACTAATTAGAGCAATAGTGATATTTGCAACTACATTTCTAATACAGTTAGGATATATAGGAAGATGAAAAGGTGACTGGATCTCTTAAGTTGGAGGAGGTTGTTTTACAAATAGCAGGGAACAGTCTACATTACTGGTCACTCATTAGGTTGGTATAGTGGTAATTAGAAATCCAGGTGCTTTGTTATTTCTCCAGGGAATAGATCAGTAGAATAACACCATATGCATGATGACAGACAAAGTCCTTGAAAAATACCCCTCTAGTTACAGTCTGTAGTGTTGTGAAATTAGTACTGTAAGCAGCAGAATCGACCAAGTAGCTGATTAAAGAGCTATTTTTATAAAAGTCTTGCAGAACGCGGTATTTAAGTGTAACATTCTTAAAATAACACTTTTTTCAGGTACTCAGAATTTTATCATGTTGTATGTTATTTATAAAAACTGGATTAATCATGGGACTGATTCCTCAATACTCATTGTCTTTAAGTCCATGCTTCTGAAGTGGAATTGAAGCAGACACTGTATGAGACGGTTATTTTTGTGGAGAGGCAATAATAACAGCACACATACAGATTGTGACTAAAATTGGCCAGAAAAGGGTATTTCTGTTCTTTGGAAAATTCTGTGGTGTTGACGTTTTGTTTCATCCCATGCTGGAACAGAATGTCGACGCTGGAACAGAATGTCGAGGTGGTGAAACTTCAGGCAAAACAGAACAATTTGTTTCAGTTTTTTTGCAAATGTGGTTCTTCCCCAGCCGGGGGCTGCCTGGCGCGCTGGCCTGCTGCCTGGCCGGCTGGTAGACAAGCTGGAAAGAAGCCAGCCAGGCTAGCCAGCTGGTGGGGCAGCGGGGAGTGCCCGCCTGGCTTCTGAAGAGGGTTTTAGCAGAATAAACATCTTCTCAAGGAATATTTTTTTGTTCTCTTGAATCAGCATTTTTATCAGAATATTGTTGATCAGTTTTAGTAATTCACTGTAGAAGCCGGGGAAATGGACTCGGGCTCTGGTCTGGAAAGCTCTAATTTTACTTTCTCACTGATTACCTGCAGGGTCTGAATTTAGAAATCTCTGGAGATTGAAGTACAAAAGGCTCTTTTCCTAGGCTGAAGGGCTGGATTATTAATTCACGCATAAATCTGTGCATAAGCTACAGAGTAGAGGCATAGGAAGCAGACTTTTGCTGTGGGAGTTGGTTTTTTGATCATCCTAATGAAAGCAGGAACAATAATGCAGAAAACATGCTGTACTACAGAGATTTCATCTGGCTTCTGCAGTGGGGAAAGAGCCATGAGGTGTGAGCTCTTCGGATCCCTTGGACCATTGCTGTGTCAATTCCCAGCGCAAGTTTTGACTTATAAAGTCCTCGGGGAGTGAGAAAGAAGGAATCCCACACATCTCTCTCTTTTTTTCAGTGACTGATTATGCATTTTTATCTGATTTTTTCCCTCATTTTATAGCCTTTCACATATGTACGAACTATTTTCTGTTTTTTTTTTTTTTCTAGAGGAAATACAGACCCTATCTTGCAATACCAAATGCTACATTTGGTATCATTTATTACTGTTTGGATCCTGAGCAGTGTGAAGTCAGTATGATTCAATTTGTTTGAGGGCTTGAAACAACTTAACTCCAGTCGAATGCCTAGCCCTGTGTGTCTACTTTACTGCTGCCTCTCCCTTCAGTAATTTCACATACTGAATTCATTCTTCTGCCACTTACCATTAGTATACTTTAGAAGATTCTTCCATGGACTTTGGTTGTTGTTGTTATTATTCAAAGCTGGAAAACAAGTTAATGTGTTTTTCCAGAACATAAAGATGTGGTAATTGTTTACAATAGAGGACCGTTTAGCTCAGTGTAATGTCTCTGGTAACAGATGGTTAAAGAACAGTAACAGAAGACAGTACGTATCCTTTCCCTGGTATACTTTCTCAACTTTTAGTAATCAACTCCTAGGTATTTTCTTTGCTGGAAGTTTCATCTTGTTTAATTGCACTTAAATTCATGAATATTTATTTTGAACTTATTTGTAATTCAGCTTCCAGAAAATAGATTGGTGATGAGTTCCACAAAGTAATCTTGGATTGAGAGAGAAAAGAACTCATTCTTGTTCTCTTGTTGAAATCATCATCTGGCCTTCTCTTGGCTCTGATTTTCTGAAAATGTACCGTGTCACCAGGGCAGGGAGCACAAGTCTCTATTAAATGCATCCTGTGTAACAGCTGAGTGATAAGAGTCCATGTTGATAAACTGCTAGAGTTCTGCAGGTCAAGAGTAGCTGGAAGGCATAAGAAGAGTCCTGAAGAAACTGAAATTTCAAGTCATAATACTGGAAAATAGCTGTTGGGTCTGTCTAGCAATTTAATAATAAATTAAAAGTTGACCTGCATTCTTATTCGTGTGCCTGCCTGCAAAATCACGTAGCTGTAAGCCTCCGTTTTCTCATAGTATTTTTTAATGCTCTTCCCTGAAATAACAAAAATAACCCCTGGTCCATGGCATCTCCCATACAAACCTATGGTAACAAATGTGCCTGCGTGCTGAATAGAAGAATTAGTAATAGTAGTAGAAGTAAGGCCTCCTCGTCTAGGAATGTGATATTATATTTACTTCATAATGAAACGTGAAAAAGGTGTAAATTGGAGATGGAGAACTCTAGAAGGGCTGGTAGGTTTATGTGTGTTAAGAGCAAATAAAGCATATAAGGTCAAATACTCACATGACTGTGAATGGTGCAGCTATATGATTATAGCAGTTTTGCTGTTACCAAGGGAAGCAAAAGCTGCTTCTTTTGACTTTGGTGGCCCTACCAGGGAAGGGAGGAGAAAGGTGCAATTCAATCTGAGGAAAGGTTTTTGAATTTCTCCGGTGGTGAATTATTATTATTCCATCTCTGGAAAGGCATGCAATGGTCTTGGGACTGGGCTGACATATTCTTTCCAATAGAACTATCTTATCTTGGTGCATGAAGTAAAGTATTGGAGGAACAGATCCTCCATCTCTTCAGACTTCCATGGCAAGAAAATTGTCCAATAAATCAGATAAGCTATTATCTATGCCTCCATGAAAAGCCACTTACAGCCACGTTAAAAGATATGCTTTGTGTCTTTGTCACTGCACTCAAGAGTGATGAGATGTAGGAGAAAAATCATTAGATTAAAAAGGAGCTGGGGAGAGAATTTAAAACCAATATCCTAAGGATGACAGGGATATAATTATGAACAACTCCTGACCTGACTTTTTTTTTTTCTTACTCTTGTTTCTCTAGAAAATGTTTTCGATTACTCACGTCTATTCTGTAGCCATAAAGAATTCACAATAGAAGTAAATTTTAAGGATTCCTTTGACTGAGGTTTTTTAACTTTTTCTGCATGGAAGTTACTTGAACAAAAATGTCTGTGGACAAAAAATGAATTCTGCTTTGTGGACACATTTGCTTTATTAAAACTAGAAAAGGGGGAAGAAAGCTTGAGACAGGATTTTAATTTGCAGTTCTCTTGGTGGATGTTCACTGGAATGTCCTTGGTTTAATTAAGCTGAACTGAGTTTAAGGCT